TATAGCTAAGTGTTACGGCATATCTGTTCAATAATTTGGGTAGTTTAGTTAATTTTAACAAGGTTTTGTCGATGTGACTGATGAATATTTGCCTCATATTTTTATATTTTGGGATGAATCACGTTTTTGTTTCTGTTTTTCCACTGCTAAGTGGGAATTTCAGGTTTTTGTGATATTTTTCTTAATACTTCTCTGAAAAATATAGGCTAACCATGATTTTATCTTTCATATTTATGCTTTCCAAGTAGTTGATGATATCGCCAGAATATTCAAGGTATGAATGACTGGTTGGCTGGAAAAGAAGCGTTGAAATCTTTGCAAGCTTTTTTGATGAATTTTGAGGAGCACTGCACATATTAGAGATAACAGACTGAAATAGACTGTTGGGTTTTTGTGGTTTTTATTAAGCCATAGAATCTGCATAGCTTTAGATTGCATTCCATAAATGGAAACAGTGATCGCTCTTACCTATATATTACTTTTATTTAATTTGTTGACTGTTTCTATTTCCTTATTTATTTTATTTGTTTTACTCACTTGAAAAATGGGTGGGTTTAAACAAAAGGTGATATGTCCTAAGTTGTTTAAGACGTCTAAATATAAATGTAAATACCAGGAAATAAAATCTGAACTTCTGAACTTTTGTATCGGAAACCGGTTGGAGTATTTCCAACCATTTAGCTATTTCATGTTGTACAGATCCTGACATAGATTGGATATACCGGAGAGGCACATTGTTTTTTTGTTTTTTTTTTTTCACTTTAGACAAACCGTACAATCTTGGAATTTGGAACCCGACAAGTCTGATAGGGTTATAAACTTCTTTGGAAATTAAGTTATTTTGAAAACCGAAAGTAACCATCTTTGTGTTTTTGCTTCTATTTTATTGGTTTTGTCACACGTACTTGCAAAATATATCTTTGAAGGAATCATGTAAAATGGTTTCTATTCCGGAACCTTTATTTGGTTTTTTGATATATATATATATATATATATATATATATATATATATATATATATATATCACTCCTAGATATTAAGGATTTGATAGTCCGGTAGTGGACACACTGCCTTGCAAGGAAGTCACGATCGACAGAGAGAAACGAATACTCAAAATTTAAATGCCTGTGTGATGCTGCATATATAGAACAGACCAATCAGAGACTGGAGACCCGAATCGGCAAACACGTTCCTGCAAATACCATAGCAAATACCATGAAATTTTAATTTGTGAATGAATAAAACTACTTTAGATGAAATTCTAGGACGACCCCAGCAGTGCATGATTCAGAAATTGGTCAGTACCTTCTGGATAACCCTGACTGTTCACATCAATATGCAAATGATTGTTCCACTATCTTACATAACGCTCGGTCCGTTAATCGGATTTTAGAAACGGCTTATATTAAAATACACCAACCTAGCCTATGCAGGCAGAAAGAAAAGTTTACCAGGTCACTAAGGTTATTTGGAAGGCATGACTAATACCTTTTCCTTGTGTATTCACTTGGAACATTTATATTTTATTTGGTAATCATTTTTTTACTAATAAATTGTTTTAGTCGTGTTCCGAATTTAAGTTCCCTACTCGTCTACTATTTAGTTTTTGTAAATATCGTTTTGTGTCTCGTCCGAATTACACCAAAGAATCCTTCTGAAGAAATGTTGGTCACAAGAATTCTTTAGGAAAATATATATATATATATATATATATATATATATATATATATATATACACGAGTTTCATTAAGGTACTTGTATTTAATTTTTCTTGTGTTCTTATAATTTTCTTCTTTTCTTGAGATAAATTATGTAGAAATTGTCCAAATATTCTGTATATGCGAGCGCTTTCGGTTATACTTTTAGTCCTTATCAAGGATAATTTTATTTTTACTCTTAATTGAATACTTGGATTTCTATGTATGTATCTAGAATTATATTCATATTATTTTCCAAACACGCTCAGTACATTATGGCCGTGTTCATAGTTGATGTGTTTAGAAAATTCAACACTCCTATATCTTTAGATACATACATAAAACACTCCATACATCTAGTTAAAAGGAAAAATAAAACCATCGAGACAATTCCCACAAAAAACGTTTCTTGTGGATGAAGATGATCAGCTTTTAAAATAGTGGCTAGTAGAAAGTCCTGATCTCGATATAATTGGACCATTGTGGTCGGAATTGAAGAAACAAGTGATACAATGAAGATTATGCACTCTCCAAGCGTCTTAGAATTATTACAACGAAGAATTGGAAACAATTCCCAATGAGAAAATCTGAATCACGTTCCATTCAATGTCACATCAAATTGTGGCAGTTATTCAAGACAAAGTTACCAATACTAATTACTAACTGAATAATTTGTCGTTTTGTGCTTTCTATAATAATAACATTTGGTTTGTTTTGAGTTTGTTTTACGGCATATCAACCTCAGTATGTTATTTAATGCCGACAAAATTTTTGTTGCTGGTAATATTTTTTTAAAAAATGTATCGATGGTAATGTTTTTTTCAATAAAATATTGCTGGTAATAATGTATTGCTGGTAATAATTTTTTCTTCAAAAGTTTATTGCTGGTAATAATTGTTTTACAAAGTATTTCTGATATTAAAAACTATTTTTAAACTTTCATAGTATTTCGACCCCAGTTTGGGGCTTCACAATTTACCCATAGCTAGGACCCTAACGGGTGCTATCACTCTGGATCAAGGTGGACCTGGGAACACCAGCAATTAAGAGCTGGTTCCACGCTCCTCAAAATCTCCTGATTAGGGGCCTTGCTGTTGGACGTAGTTGTCGTCATACCAAGGATGAGTAATAATAAAGATCTTTTTTGCAAAAATTCTTTAACTTAAGAAAAGAATTAAAATGTAAAATTTCCGCTGATTGCCTCGTATTTTTGCACGCCCTTTTTTCAGCATCACTATGATTAAGATGGTCTATCATCGACCGTCATGCAGCAACAACTTGTTTTGTGAATCTCAAAGATCATAAAATATATTGAGAAGAAAATGTTGCTAATCATTCTCTATTTGGGGGTAAACAAAAGTAACGAATGAAACAGACTGTCGCCTCTAAGTGTTGACTTCAATGTTCAGTTTTATATTTACACACGCTCTGTCTCTGATATTGAGCACTTTATCCCATAAATATAACACAACTTAAGACTATATTTCTTCATATATATATATATATATATATGTGTGTGTGTGTGTGTGTGTGTGTGTGTGTATTATTTATTTTTTGAAATTAAAACAAAAACATGTTAAAAATTGCTACACAATTACAATTATCTTTCAACACTACAAATATGTCTCCTCGGGAGTAGTTTGACTTGTGGCTAGTGAACTATTATTTTCATTTCAAAAAACCACATACTTCCTCATTTTTTCTCGAGAAAAAAAGATCAGTATGAAAAATAGGCTTGTGAGCTTTGCCGGAATTAACCAATCGAATGTGACCTACGCTAAATTCAAACTCACCGAATTTTTTTTTTTTTATTATTATCATCATCATCATCATCATCATCATCATTATTATTATTATTATTATTATTATTATTATTATATAATTTTTCTGCATATAAATCATGTTTTTCTTTTAACCTTAAAGGATTTGTTCTTGATTATGAAACTGCTTTTTTAATTTTAATTGTTTTTAACAAAGGAATTCGGTGTAGAAAAAATATTATTTGATATTTGTAAGTTAATCCTTTGTTGATGAAAGCGATGCCTTGCAAGTCAAAGGATTCATAACTTGAAAATTGAAATGCTTTTCTTTCTAAACGTTATTCAAATATTATTTTTTATGTGTGAGATTTTTTTTGTTGTTTTATTTTTTTTTTTTTTTTACATTTGGGAAGAAATAAAAGAAGAAAAAAAATGATTGTTCAACAAAATTATAAAATTGATGTTTGTAACACACTTTCTCCGTAAAGCAAACTAATACCTTTCCAGACAAAGTAAAAATAAACATCAGTGGCCGTTCTTACTAAAATATTTATTATTTATTATGAAAACGTCTTATTACGTTCATGGAAGAAAAGAAACATCGTTTTTTGTTGTTTGTTTGTTTGTTTTTTTAACAGAGTTAATGGAAGGACAAAAAAATACTTTTAATATTTATAACTTAATCTTAGCTCGCTGAAGATATACATTTCTGTCTTTTTATCACAACTTCAAGATCAGTATTCTACGATGACTAGTAAATTAAATTAAAATGAAAGATACTCTATTCAAATACGATTGAATAAATTTATAATTATTTTATTTCGACTTGATGGTTATAAAAGGCGAGGCAAGAATACTTCCCCCATAATTGTAATACTTTAGCCAGAAGAAAGCACCATTGCCACTAATGTCTTCCCGTCATGTGGTTGGTATTTATGGGCACGTGGCCAAGTGGTTAGAACCCGGGTTCAAATCTCACCATAGTCGATTTGTCAGGAAGGAGACTTCCTTATGTTATCGGACTGGAGGGTTCGATCTCAGCGTGCAGCACGTTTGGAAAGTGCATATCAAGAGTTGGCCCAAGCTTTGTGAGTGAAATTGGGTAGACGTAACTCTTGTGGCCTGTCGATAGCTGTGCTAGCACGAAGTCATAAGTCATCGTGGCCGAAAGCTTAAGCGTGCTTGCTTTGTTTAAACTGTTAATCACACTAGATAACACGCTCTAGCGTGCTTGCTTTGTTTAAACTGTTAATCACACTAGATAACACGCTCTTTCCCTGAAACTGTAACTAACGTCTGGTCAGCATAGTTGCAGTATAGACCACAGGTGAACTCTGTGGGTGTTGAAAAAACACAAATGCGCCTGTGCAAGCGTCTACAATAGGGATTGGCTAGCTGCACTAGTAAACGGATATCCTCGAATACGAATGGCTTGCTATACATGTCGGAGGTATTTCCGCCGCATCCTGTATATTAATTGATTTGTAAGACAAAATTTTATTCTAACGTATATCTTCGTTTTTACGTACACTGAGTAACGCTTATGAGCACACGTCCCCGAGACTTATCTTCTTCTATATTACTTATTCTTCAAGGCTCTCCACAACTTCCTGTGACTTTGTCGCTTTACCAAACCTCCCACGCCGTTAGGTAAGGTGGCCTGCTGCCTCCCATTGAACCTTCTGCCCTCAATACGCTCTGCGAGTGTCAAATCCTTCAAGCCTACCTTTCTGTCACTTTCTCATTGTGGATATAAATTTCCTTTCTGTTTCCAATGTTTCTTAAGCTCATACACTCGGACGAATAAATACTTAATCTGAAGCAGTTGTACCTTGAATTTTGATCTGGACTTCTTTCTGTGTAATATTCTATAAATATGTCTAATGAAAAGCCTATATGTATACAAGGAGAATTAGTATCTTCAAAAGTAAATATTTATTGCTATTTTCATTTTCATTTTTAGGCTACGTAGTAATTTATCGATATACTAATGTATTTTTTTATGGAATTATTGTTTTGTTATATAGTCCGATATTATTTCTTATTAATATAAATATTATATTTAGTGGATAAGCCTATTTGACAAGACATCTCTGTTGATTTTAAACAGTATAATTTTCGTCTCTTGGACTCGATTTTTCGAGAGCACATCAATCTATATGAGGGTAGTTTGCAACAATGGGCGTAGCATGGTGGGCCTTGAAGGTTATAACTAATGGAACTAAGGAATATATTTCTTCTGAACACTTTCCATGGAAATAGCGATGTACTAGCGAGAGGCTTGTGACGTTTTGTCTATGAAAGGGGTTTTAAGGTGGAAATATTTCATCACCCACAAGGACGCATAGACAGGAAATGAAGAGTGGACAACTTCTGCCCATATTTTGCAGTAGCATTCCATTTTCTTGCATTATTTACATTATTCTCCTTTGTATTTTTTGCCACATCTGCAAGGGATGAGGACAAGCAGGCCGCCCCCTTAAGGTAAGGCTACTAGAACATCCTAAAGCGGTAACACGAGGGGAAATAGAAAAATCAGGCGTAGCTGACCACATATACAGAGAAAAGGGAGATCACCGCCTCCTGTGGGATGAGATTGAAATAACAGACAGAGAGCATCAATGGATAATACGAAAACTTAAGGAATCAACACTTATGCCAAGACACAAAAATCTCCTGAGCCGACCAAGCATAGAAATGAATACAGTATGGGAACCAGTAATAAGGAGTGCTAGAGAAAAGCAACGATTAACAACAAAAATTGCAATATAGGCTGTGGTAAAAATGCAATAGTAAGAACAAAAAATTGCAATGTGGCACTGATAAAAAAATTGTTGCTTAGACATTAGGTTTATAAGTCACAAAAATTCATACACAAAGACACATGGCCCAGTTGATAAAGACGTTGGTTAAATCCAGTGACTAAACACAAAGAATTGTAAGTAAACCAAACTTGGAGAGTTGAGTTAAAAGGAAATAAGTGACAGATCCAAAAATGTCATGGCACGTGGACGAAATAAAGGGTTCAGTTCGAAATTCCAATCTCCTGAAGAAGGCCGAAACGTTCTAAATATGTCAATGGAGATGAGGATAACAGCCCGAATAATGTAAATAATGTAAGTAATCATAATATCTCATCTCAGAGATATAGAGGCCGTAACGTTGTGAATATGGCAATGGAGATGAGGATAACAGCCCGATTAATGTAAATAATGCAAGTAATCATAATACCTCATCTCAGAGATATAGACAAATATGCTATTTTCTTTCTTTCTAAATATGTCACCACTATTTCGTTCTTTCTTAATTTTCTCCAATTTTTCTACTTTCATTATTTCATTCTTTCTTTTTCTTTCATTTTTTTCTTTTTTCCTTCTTTCTGTCTTTTTTCCTTCTTTCTTTCTTTCTTTATTCCTTCTTTCTTTCTTTTCTTCCTATTTTTGTTTATTTCTTTTTGCCTGCCTTTCTTTTTTAATACATCCACGTTTTTCTTTCTTTTTCTTTCTTAATATTCTCATTCTTATCCTATTTTCTTTCTTTTCCTTTCTCTTCTCTTTCTTTCTTAATATTTCCTCAATATTTCTTTCTATTTTTCTTTCTTTCTTTCCCGGTTAACTTGTAATTTTATTCATTTTTACTTATATTTAATATAAGATTATTAGTCTAATTCTGTAAGTTTAATCTGACACAAGGTTACGTATGAGTATTTTGCAGCTGGGATCGAATACATTCTTTGTTAATTTGTACCCCACAACAAAAAGTCTTTGCATAGTCTGGCGCAAGTCCATAATAATAATACTTTTTTTTGTAAGCATTCAACCCCAAGCAAGGCGGGAAGCCATTAGCACACAAAGGGTTTCAGAGTAGGAGCGAGAACAAAGAGGAGTGATAGAGAAAAGGATGAAGAGAAGGTTAGGGGGTCAGGGCATCTGGGGATGTCGATTGACGTTACAGTTGAATAGTTGGAGATTATAGGTATCAGGAAAACAAGAAATAGTGAGGGAGTTCCACAGGCGAGAAGTGCGAGACATGAAGCTATTGGAGTAGAAGAGACGGCGACATTTAACAGTTTCGACAGTGAAAGGGTGAGATGCCAGCCTAGTTGAACGCTTAAATTCATGAAGTCTGCGAACCAGCGAAAGCAGCTCACCGGAGCAATTACCGTGAAAGTATTTTTTAAAAAAGACAGAGGCAGGCAACGGCACGTCTGTGAGAGATTGGCCGCAGACGAGATGCCAGATCAGAGCCAATTACATTGCATATCCGTCTTTGGATGTTATCAAGGACCTTGAGGCAATTAGAAGGGGTACCAGAACATATATAGCAGCAATACTCCATGCAAGGGCGAATGGCTGATTTGTAGATTTGAAGGATCGCATTCACCTAATTCACTGCCGTGGTGATTATCTAGACACATATCCCTATTGTGAGGGTTCAAGGCTTCGCATAAGCTTGTCAAGCTTAAACATCGGGCGGATGCCGAACTCACTAACATAGCAGTCATGGAGACTAGTTTATCACTAATACCTCGAGGCAAGAAATTTACTGATTTTATATCACAGCCTGTTAGTAAGATACTTTTATAAGTGGCTCCAAAGTTTTGAAGATAATAAACCTGTCAGGATTTTCGGTCTGATTTGGTTTTTGAAAATGTAAAGAATAACAGGAGGAGCCAAGCACTTATTGCAGCCGTAGAGAAAACCGACCATTTTTCCAGTATTTTCGGCGATGGATCATGTGTGCTAGTTCCATTTGAAGTCTGGGTTGAGCTTGTTCCAATCGGGGCTCAAGATACATTCTCTTCCCGAACGAGCATCCTATTTTAAAGATGAAATTGTCTTAATATCTGGACAAACCGGTGGGCATTTCATTATTCAGGCGTATTTGAAACCTTTTTTAAACAAAAATGAAAAGGACAATTGTTAACATTAATGTAATAACAATGCCTGGCCCGCTGTTTCCAAATACACATTAATTTGTTTAATCAATCGCTGTTTCAGAAGCTTGCTCAGGCACATATGGTTTCTTAAAAAACCAACAGAGCCAACCTGTTGAGCAAATATTCTGCTCGGACTATAGTCAAATTACATAATCCGGCATTGATCAGTTGTTGAACAAGGCTAGTATATTTAGCCACCACCCCCACAACCACGAGGATTGCATGTGGTACAAGGCCTGGTTTAACGAGGGTTCTCCGAGCCCGTAGAATCCGCATAAACGGGTCAACCTCTACGAACGTGTCTCTGCCCTTCGGCATAGCCTCGTCCGGGTTCCTCTCTACTCAGAGGCAGAGGGTTCCTCTCTACTCAGAGGCAAAGGGTTCGACCTGCCAGCCGAAAAGGCTAGTGCGCTCAAACTCTCGGTAACGTTGACTTATGACTTCCTGCTATGATTTTCACGTCCTTCGTAATGGTGCCACAAGCTGGGATCGTCACTTTGGGACGTTATAATGAAGAAATTGTCTTCTTGACAATCGATCATGTTGAGATTTGAACAAGGGTTTCATGGTCGCAACTTTAACTTTACCACACGCCCATTACGTGAATATTCTCTTTAGGTAAATGTTTCTCGGTTATAAACAAAAACACGCAAATATGTATTTTTCAAGAACTATGATTTTCTACATTTATCTTGAAACTAATGTCAAATTTGAAGTGACTTTCTACGGTCTACAATACTTGCCCCAAGCATTACATATCCACGTCCATCTTGACATGGTGCTAAAATTATTCTTATGATAGACCCAACATCTAGTCTAACCATCTGATCAATCCAATGTAGCTCTAATTCAATCGCTAAGATTACTGTCGAGAAATCATTTTGGTGTAATCCTCACGATTCTTATAAAATTATTTTCGACAATTTTAAACAAAGGCGTTGTTTGCTTTCATGTCATGAAAGAATATCCTTCATATATTGATTCCTCTTTCATACACTAACAACACGAGCTTCTTGAAAACGATATTTTTGGATGTTCAATCAACTTTTCTTGCTTATTATTCTTTGAACGTTTCCCCTATCACCTTTACTGACATTCTGATAGGCATTTTTCTTTTCCTTATCTTGTCAATATTTTCAATTTATTTTTGGATAGATCTCTGATCTGTGCTTAACTTTTACACAATTTCCAAAGCTGTAGTCCTATCAATCAATATGGCAGGTCGCATTTATAAGAAATTTATAGGCATTTATAAGGTGGCATTTATTAGAAATTTATAGGCATTTATAAGGTGGCATTTATAAGAAATTTACCATAGATTAAAGGAATCAAAGACTTTTGTACTGTACCATATATACATTCATCCACATCTCTCTCTCTCTCTCCCTCTCCTTCCAGGCCTCCCATCTCTCTTGGGAATCAGATATAATCTGTCATGAAAGCTGAGTGCCAAAGAGAATTTTTAATGAAATACTATAAATCAATTTTTCATGTAAAGAAAAAAAACGAATAAAATATCAGTCGGAAGAGGAGCTGAAATCTTCTCAGGTCGACAAAGCCCTTCCAATTAAATTTTGGTCAGATTGTGAAAAGTGTTAAGCCGAGAACTTTTTAACATTAATGTTGTACATATATTTTATTTTAGAGTGAACGTGAAGTCATGATTATAGATGAAAAATATGATTAACGAAAAGATACATTGAACACTTATTTTATATTGAGTTCTCCTGTTTGGTAATGTAAACATTTTTCTCTCATCATTTTTGATGTCGCATCACTTTATGGAATACCTGAACTATTCGGAAATGTGGTTAGCTTTTTTGTAGAGCTCGTGTTTTAATGGGAATTTCTAACTTCAAAATTATTATCTCTTTCTTATTTAATAATGCAATTTCGTTTATTCTGCATGGAAAAAGAGAAATAAATCCAAGTTAAGAAAAGAACGATTTAAGTTTATGGAACTCTGGTTTATGGGACTCTGTTCGGTTTCTCGAACCCTGCTTTATTCATGGGATACTGTTCAGTTTATGGGATCCTGTTCGGTTTTTGGGAGACTTTTCGGTTTATGAGTCCCTGCTCAGTTTATGGGACCCTGCTCGGTTTATGAGACCCTGTTCGGGGCATAGGACCTTGTTCGATTTATTAAACCTGTTGGTTTATGGAACTCTGTTCGGTTTATTGGACCCTGCTCAATTTATGGGACCCTGCCCAGTTTATGAGACCCTGTTCGGTGTATAGGACCCTGTTCGGTTTATTAGACCCAGTTCGGTTTATGGGGCCTTTTTCAGTTTATGGGGCTTGTGTCGAAACGTGAATTCATGTCAGTGACACAGTCGCGCTTACAGCTACAGTGACACGCATAAGTATTGGGTACATGTTATTTTCTGTTATAACTCTAGTTTATGTTCGCCATTTTGCCTGATATTTGGTAAGTAATATGTCGTAAAGTTGTTTTAGTTGTATGTGGAAGGAAAATTAAAAACTCATGGTTGAATTCGTTTTTTTTTATCAAAGTTTAAAGTTACCCTATGGTTGAATCCATTTTTTTTTTATCAAAGTTCAAAATTAGCCTATGCAAAAGTATTGGATACATGACACTTTTTTCAAATTTCCAATCGAAACTTTGTATTTTAAAAGACTTTAAATATTCAAATTTTCGATAGTATTGGAATGTTATATGTGACAAATCAGAGAAGCACACAATTGTTTACAAGATAGTGCTACTAATCATCTGACTCTTTGATGTGCATTCTGCAAATCAAGGATTGAAAATGGCAAAAACTAAAGAATTATCCAGAGATATGCGAGATAGAATCATTGAACGTCACAAAGGAGGACAAGGTTACCGAAAAATTAGCAAAGAAATGAATCTAGCACTAAGTACAGTAGGAAACATCATCAGAAAGTATAAGAAGTATGGCGACGGTACAGCAAACCTTCCAAGAAATGGAAGACCGAGAAAAATAAATGAGAGTATTTCAAGGTGGATCAGCAGAAATGATAAAAAAAAACCCTTCATTACTCGTTCTGGAATTAAAACTGATCTTAAGGGTGTTGAAATTAATGTAAGTAAGGATACCATTAGCAGAGCTCTATATCGTACAGGCTTTCAATCAAGATCACCAAGAAAAGTTCCTTTACTGAAAACCAAACATGTCAAAGACCGATTAAAGTTTGTCGAAACTTATGAAAAAAAAAGGTATGCAGTTTAGGGAAAAGGTAATCTGGTCGGATGAAACGAAAGTTGAACTATTCGGAAGGAACGCAGCGACAAGTGTTTAGCGAAAAAATGTCACTGCCTTCAACATGCACAATACCATCCCCACAGTTAAGTTTGGGGGTGCTTCCATTATGATGCTTTTCATTCAAGGACACTGGGGAGTTACAAGTTATCCATGGTAGAATGAATGGTAGCATGTACAGTGAGATTCTAGAGAAGAACCTTCAGAAATCTGCAACTTCTTTAGGACATGGTCGGAATTTTGTGCTTCAAGACGACAATGATCCCAAACATACCGCAAAACTTACAAAGGAATGGTTTGAAAATAATGGTATTAGTACTCTCAATTGGTTAAGTCTGTCTCCTGACTTGAATCCAGTTGAGAATTTGTGGAATACTTTGAAGGTTAAAGTTCATAAGCGGAATCCACAAAATATCAAGCAATTAGAGGAATTATACAAGGAAGAATAGGGTAAAGTAACGGTGGATCAGTGCGGAAAACTTGTGGCCAACTATAGAAAGCGACTGGAAGCAGTGAAACAAAACAGAGGTTACGCAATGTCATGAATTTATCGCTTCTATCCATATCCTCATCATTGCCTGCAAAAATATTCTTAGAATCTAAAAATATTTTCTGGCTTTAAATAACCTGCAAAAGGTTGATAAGCTAGAAAAATAAAATCACTCAATGGCTAACTAGATAGATAGATAGATAGATATGTCCCAATTTCAAAGCGGCTAGAAACAATGAGTTGTGGTACAAATGTAAGTTAAAGACTTTCTAAAATTAACCATTAGCATTTGATTACCTGACCTTTAATTGAACTTGAATACTGACCATAAATTCATCAAGTACCTATCCCAGCCAACCTGAATGGCAGTAATCAACAGATGTTGATAAAATCTTACATTCAATGAAAAGGTTTGATTTCCCGTTTGCCCAATAATTTTAAAAAATAAGTCCTTTATATTTATTTTATTCCCAAATCGTGCGATGGAAAGATCCAAGGAGTGATAAAGTGAGCGGCAACTTTGCATCTGTTTATTTTTATTTTTGTTGTTAACAAAAGGAAAATAATATATATATATATATATATATATATATATATATATATATATATATATATATAGAGAGAGAGAGAGAGAGAGAGAGAGAGATAGATAGATAGATAGATAGATAGATAGATAGATAGATAGATAGGAAATCAATTATCAAAACGCAAACCAGATTATTCTCACGTTGAGATGAATAACAATGAAGAGAAATCCAAAATGGTTCTGATAGAGAATCTAAATTTCCTGACAAAGCAGTCGCTGACCAATAAGTTAATATTCTGCTTGTTTGTCTATACAACCAATACGCGTTACAAACGAGACTAGAATCATTAATTATTACACAATCGAATTTCTAAAATTGTCTCTAGTCAGTGTTTTTCTGATCTTAATATTTCTTCACGATTTTTTTCTTTGTTTTGAATACCACCTTATTTTAATCTGCTATTTTTATTCCTTTCTTAAATTTTCTTTCTTTTTCCTTCCTGCCTGCCTTCTTGTCTTCCTTCTTTCCTCTCTACCTTCCTTTCTTCCTTTTTCCTTCCTTCCTTCCTCCTTCCTTAATTCCTTCCTGCCTAACTTCCTTTCTGCCTTTCTTCTTGCCTTCCTTTCGTCCTTCCTGCCTTCCTTCGTCTTCCCTCCTTTTCTTCCTCCCTTCCTTCCTTCCTTCCTTCCTTCCTTCCTTTCTTTCTTCGTTCCTTTAACCTTCCTTCCTTCTGCCTTTCTTCTTGCCTTCCTTCCTTGCTTCCTTCCTTCCTGCTTTCCTTCTTTCGTCCTTCCTGCCTGCCTTCCATCCATCCTTCTTTCCCTTCCTTCCTGTCTTACTTCTTTCTTTCCTTCCTGTCTTCCTTCCTGCCTTCCTTCTTGCCTTCATTCCTTGCTTCCTTCCGTCCTGCTTTCCTTCCTTTCGTCCTTCCTGCTTGCCTTCCATCCTTCCTTCTTTCCCTTCCTTCCTGTCTTACTTTTTTCTTTCCTTCCTTTTTCCATCCTTCCTTTTTCCTTCCTTCCTTTCGCCCTTCCTGCCTTCCTTCCTTCCTTCCTGCTTTCCTTCATTTCGTCCTTCCTGCCTGCCTTCCATCCATCATTCTTTCCCTTCCTTCCTGTCTTACTTCTTTCTTTCCTTCCTGCCTTCTTTCCTTCCTTCCCGTCTCCTTCCTTCTTCTTTCCTACCTTCCTTCTTTTCGGGATCCCTTTCTTCATCCTTCCTTCCTTCCTGCTTTCCTTCCTTGCTTCCTTCCTTCCTACCTGCCTACCTTCTTGTCTTTCTTCCTTCCTTCTTTCCTGCCTACCACCCTTCCTCCCTTCTTTCCTTTCGTCATTCCTGCCTTCCTTCTTGCCTTCCTTCCTTTTTTTCCTACCTTCCTTCCTGCCTTCTTTCCTGTCTTCCTTCCTTCCATTTTCCTTCCTTTCTTCCTGCATTCTTTCCTTTCATCCTACCTGTCTGCCTTCCATCTTTCCTTCTTTCCCTTCCTTCTTGTCTTACTTCTTTCTTTACTTCCTGCCTTCTTTCCTTCCTGCCTGCCTTCCTTACTTCCTTCCTCCTTCCTTCCTGCCTTCTTTCCTGTCTTCCTTCCGGTCTTCCTTCCTTCTTCCTGCCTTCTTCCTTCTTTACTTCCTCCCTGGCTTCCTGCTTACCTGCCTTCCTTCCTGCTTGCCTTCCTTCCTACCTTCCTTCCTTGCTTCCTTCCTTCATACTTTCCTTCCTATCTTCCTTCCTTCCTTCATACTTTCCTTCCTATCTTCCTTCCTTCGTTCTTCCTGCCTTCTTCCTTCTTTATTTCCTCCCTGCCTTCCTGCCTTCCTTCCTGCCTTCCTTCCTGCCTGCCTGCCTTGATTCCTGCCTTCCTTCCTTCTTACTTTCCTTCCTGTCTTCCTTCACCCCTGCCTTCTTCCCTTCTTTTTACTTCCTCCGTGCCTTCCTGCCTCACCTGTCTTCCTTCCTGCCTGCTTTCCTTCCTGCCTTTCCTTCCTGCTTTTCCTTCCTGCCTGCCTTCCTTCCTTCCTGCCTTCTTTCCTGCCTTCTTCCTTCTTTACTTCCTCCGTGCCTTCCTGCCTACCTGTCTTCCTTCCTGTCTGCCTTCCTTCCTGTCTTCCTTCCTTCCTTCTTCCCGCCTTCTTCATTCTTTACTTCCTCGCTGCCTTCCTGCCTACCTGCCTTCCTTCCTGCTTGCCATCCTTCCTGCCTTCCTTCCTTCTTACTTTCCTTCCTGTCTTCCTTCCTTCCTTCTTCCTGCCTTCTTCCTTCTTTACTTCCTCCCTGCCTTCCTGCCTTCCTTCCTGCCTGCCCTCCTTCCTGCCTTCCTTCCTTCCTTCTTATTTTCCTTTCTGTCTTCCTGCCTTCTTCCTTCTTTAATTCCTGCGTGCCTTCCTGCCTACCTGCCTTCCTTCCTGCCTGCCTTCCTTCCTTCCTCCTTCCTTCCTGCCTTCCTTCCTTCTTCCTGCCTTCTTCCTTCTTTACTTCCTCCGTGCCTACCTGCCTTCCTTCCTGCCTGCTTTCCTTCCTGCCTTCCTTCCTTCCTGCCTTCCTTTCTTCTTATTTTCCTGTCTGCCTGCCTTCCTTCCTAAATATCTCTCCACTATCTCGTTCTTTAATTTTTCTCCAATTTTCTTCCTAATTTTCTTTCTTTTTTCCTTATTTTTTTCTTTTTCTTCCTATTTTTTATTTATTTATTTTTGTCTGCCTTCCTTTCTTAATATATCCACCCTTTCATAAATTTATTAAATAAACGAAATCTACTCTTCGAACTGAATCTTAATTTGCTTTCAAGACATTTGACAGCAATGGAAATTTCTTAAGTAAATATAAATATCCTTTGTCTTTGAATTCCTTCATACAAATCAAAGAATTTCGGTCAATCAATTCGGATTATAGTCATTGCGAGATATCAACGACCTTAACAGGATGCCACAAGAGAAAACAAAGATCAATAAATTCGGATCAAGGCTGAGAAACTGGTAGAAATCTTAAATAAGCATAAACATAAAATAGTATTTCGATCGAGAATGGCTTAAGCCTTCATCGACAATTTTTACTTCTTTCATTATTTTTATGAAGATATAATGATTTACCGGAAGTAAAAATCCATTCAGCGCCTGTTAAAATTATTACTTTTATGAAGATTGTGAGGTCTCACTGGCTTCATAGCAGCAGAAATTAGCCTTGTGTTCACGGAGATAAAAGCATACTTGACAGAAAATAAAACGTACACAAATAACTGGAAAAGCATGGTAAATTGTATATTACTTTCATACAATTTATTTATATTTTTGTGTGTATTGGTGCGTATATTTTTTAGCTTACGACTTTTTTATGGTACATGAGATAAAAAGGGAGAAATTTATTCCGTAGGATTACAAGCCATATCACAGAGAAGGCAGACACGTGTTGCCTATACCAAGGTTCGTGTTGAAGAGATTGTATTTAATGTCTTTTGTCCGTATTTCGACTGGAACATGTTTTTGTTACATGCTGGAAGTATTTGTTATTATTTTTACTTTTTATTTAATCTAGTTTATACAATGTTTTATGTTATTATTTTATTTTATTTGTAACTTTCATTTTTATAATTTCTTATATTTTATTTTTATTTAATTATAATAATAATGTCCCTACACGTCATGATCATTTGCCGGAAGTAAAAATTCGTTCTGCGACTGTTAAAGTCTGCTCCTCATTGTTTTAAACATCATTTAACGACAACAAAATGGCAACCATCCGGCGCCGTAGAGAAACACAAATATTAACAAGTCACTCTAAAATGCAATAGTAATAAGGTGAGTTCGATTTTCACCTGTTGGCTTATATCTGTATCTTGTGCTGGCCTAAGTTAAATAAATGCTAACATTCCTAAGTTTTTGAGGTGCTTAATCAATTTTTGACATCGAAAATCCTCCAAACGAAATCTAAATAGTTTAAATGTAAAATTTAAGCACTTTTCATGAATGTTAGATTTTCACTGCAGACCAGTGTTTTTAAACCACAAACTTATTTTAAATTAGAAATGTTAAAAGTTTTATTTGAATATTGCTCTTAAGTATAAAAATGCTGTAATGCAGCTCCATAATTGAGTTGAAATTTATTCAAGTTGCCCAAAAACCACAATTGTCTGCTTGCCTTTATTGGACGTTCATAATGTGGTAGGCTACCCGTCTTTAGAAGACTGGTGTAACAATATTTACATTATTCGGACTATTGTACTCATCTTTGTCGCCATATTTATTACAAAATTTCGGCCCTTCCGTATCTGTCTATATTTCTGAGATGAAGTATTATGATTAATTGTCTTTATATATGATAAATGTAGATAATATCATCTATAAATATCTCTGACGTTTTTGACTGTTTTCATAATTATCCGCGGATACCAAAAAGTTAAGGATGTCCAACTTATGATAAAATTTTCTTCTTACACTGAGGGGATAAGAATCATGTGTTATAATAGCAGGTGGCGCCACTATATCTTGATGTCAGGGAAATGTTCACACCTATATCAATTATTCTCTCTGTTTTGTATGGTTGAAGTTCATCTTAAATGCTCATGGCATGAATTAAGCGGAGTATGCCAGATGGATGAAACATTACATTTCTGAAATTGTGGGGAAATTTGACAACACTTGATTTTCGGTCTTAATTGGAATACTTGATAAAGACGTTCACTGCCCACTATAGTTATAGCACTGGCCATTTGCGGATCGTTAATGATCGTAACAAGCTGTGTATAGATAAAATCGTATGTGGTAACGAAAGACAAATGATAATGACGAGTCCATTGCTAACCCTTCATCCTGTCGATATATGTGTGAACCCTTTCCGAAGTGTGTTGCTTGTGCACAGAAAGTCAACATCTCCATCAGATTATCTATTGAAATACTGGCTTGTTCTTCTACGGATGAGTCACAGGCCAATCTGTCTCTGACTACTGAGAGTTCCTCCTCCGTGGGTAGTTTGGTGAACAAACTAACCACGTCCAAGCACACCATCTGGTTAGGTAGGATGGCGACATCTTTGATTATTTCCACGAAGTGGGCGGAGTTTCGGACATGTGAAGGTGACTTTCCGATCAATGGGTTAATTATATATACAAGGAAGCGACTCGATGGCACACAGAGCCTTGGCAACTAACAATCGGCCTGAGCGGAATACGGTCTTTGTGAATCTTAGGACTCCTAGATGTTCTCGAACAGAGCATGGGTTCACGACATTCGTATACCGCAAACCGACATTCATCGGACAGTACTTCAATTTCAACTCCCACCATCAATACGGCGTAAAGAAATGGATCATCCGCTGCTTAAAACGCCATAGGTGGTGACCCCGAGACATTAGATAAAGAATTGGTCAGTATAAACAGTACCCTACAACGTAACAACTACCCTGGGTACATGGCAGCAGTCCCAATAAACTGGGATAGGCGGGTACAAGAGGAAGACAACAAAACTCTGCCTGCCTTATGTGAAGGGATTATCAGAGAAAATACAAAGGATCTGCTGTCCATATAACATAAGGAAAACCTTCAAAAGCTGAATAACACTTCGCAGATACCTCTCCCGTAGAGGAGAACATGACTAAACTCTTTGTGTACACTATCCCGTGAAGTTGAGGAAATAAACATAAAGAGGAGACAGGCCGCCCCCTTAAGGTAAGGCTTCAAGAACACCAAAAGGCTGTAACACGAAGAGATGTGGGAAATCAGGCGTGGCTGACCACATACGGAATGAAAAGGAATCACCTCTCTTTCTACGATCAGGTTGAAATCATAGACAGAGAACATCATTGGAAAATTCGTAAACTTAAGGAATCAGCACATATGCTAGGCCCCAAAAATCTCCTTAGCCGACCAAGCATAGAAATGAATACAATATGGAAATCAGTGATAAGGAGTGCCAGAAAAAAGCATTAATAACAACAAAAATTGCAATATTAGCTCAGGTAAAAAATATACAATAATAACAGCAAAAATTGCAATATGAGCACTGGTAAAAATTTTTGCTGAAGACATTGGGTTTATAATAACCAGAAATTCATACAGAGATGTTCTCAAGGCACAATGGATAAAGCCGTTATTTAGATCCAGTGACAGAACCCAAAGAGTGTGAATTCAATACCTGGTTAAGGCGGTGGAGAACTTGGAGAGGGGAATTAACAGAAGATAACTGATAACTGACATCCATTAGACATAGAGGAAGTAAACAAGTCTACCCCAGCGAGCGAAATAAAGGGCTCAGTTCGACATTCCAACCACCTGAAGAAGACCAGAGCCGTTGTGATAAATATGGCAACAAAGATGAGGATGATAGTCCGAACAATGTAAATAGTGTACATCTCAGAAATATAGACAAATACTGTTTCTTATATATATGCGCAAATGCTTCGGGCGGTAAATTGACACCTGGAGAAAATAAACATATAAATAAAATATTGGCATACTTATAAAAAAAAATGAAATAATTCTGAAAACAAAATTATTTTCATAGAGTCTGTAAAAGTGGAGCGCTTTGTAAAAAGTGATAATGTAAAAAGTTGTTTACCAGCAAAAAGAAATCAATCGTAATAATTTCTATTAAAATATATTTAGGCGAAAGACAGCTGGATTTAAAAATTTGATAAAGATCAATTAAAAATTTGGTTTTAATAAAATGTTGTACCTTTTAAAAAAAAAAAAGAAGCGAAATAGTTTTAAAAGTAGCCATGATTAAACATGAAAAATATGATTAACGAAAAGAAACATTGAACTCTTAATTTATATTAAGTCCTCCTGTTTGTTAATGTAAACATTTTTCTCTCATCATTTTTGATGTCGCATCTCTTAATGGAATATCTGAACTATTCGGAAATGTGGTTAGCTTTTTTTGTAGAGCTCATTTTCTAATGGGAATTTCTGACTTCAAAATTAATATCATTTGATAATGTAATTTCATTTAATCTGCGTATGTTTTTTTTTTTTTTTTACTGCCGACATCGGAAAACCGTTAGGGAATAAATAAATGGCAAAAGAGAAATAAATTCAAGTTAAAGAAAGAAATATTTCAGTTTATGAGATTTTGTTTGGTTTATAGGACACTGCTTGGTTTCTGGAAAGTTGATCGGTTTATGAGACCCTGTTCGGTTTATCAGACACTGTTTGGTTATCAGACCCTGTTCAGTTTATGGGAACCTGTTCGGTTTATGGGACAATGATCGGTTTATGTGACCATGTCCGGTTTATGGGACCCTGTTCGGTTTATGAGACCCTGTACTGTTTATGGGGCCCTGTTTGGTTTATGAGTTTTTGTTCGGATGATGGGATCCTTTTTGCTTTATGAGTCTCTGTTCGGTTTATGGGACCCTGTCCGGATTATAGGGATCTATTCTGTGCATGCACCCTGTTCTGTTTATGCAACTCTTTTTGGTTTATGGGACCATGTTCGGTTTATCAGACACTGTTTGGTTTATTAGACCCTGTTCGCTTTATGGGAACCTGTTCGGATTATAGGACAATGCTCGGTTTATGTGACCATGTCCGGTTTATGGGACCCTGTCCGGATTATGGGGATCTATTCTGTGCATGTAACCATGTTCTGTTTATGCGACTCTATTTGGTTTATGGGACCCTGTTCGGTTTATGGGACCCTGTTCGGTTTATGGGATCCTGTTCGGTTTATTGGATTCTGATAGTTTGTGTCGAAACTTGAATTCATGAAAGAAAGGTCAGTGACAAATTCGGGTCACGGCTATATCACTTTGAAACACAGGTTGTCGTATAATCACAAAAGTTAAGCAACGTCGAGCCTAGTAAATACCTAAATAGGAAAACCGTTCCCAGGTGCTGTAAGCTTGAATATGCGTGTCGCTCGTAATTGGAAGTCGAAATAGTTTTAAAAGCAGTTCTATTCCAGACTTCGGAGAAAAGTAAACAAAAGATGCGCAAAACACGAACATCAAATGAGACGCAAAATCAACAATGTTCAAAAAATGACATTTGGGGAGTGAGAGAGACAAAGACTTGATTATTACTTAAAAAGTGGAACGCTACTGTAGGTTATTCTTACATAACACTTCATACGAGTTGATTCAGTACACTGCTCAGAGCGGGGCAAATTCAAGTTTCTTTTTTGAAATTTTTCTTAATATTTTTTTTACCTACATTATTTACATTATTTGGACTGTTATCCTCATTTTCATTACCAAATTCACAATGTTCCGGTCGTTGTACGCTCCAGCCTTCTTCAGGTGATTGCAATTTTGAACCAAACCCTTTATTTCGTCCGCCGGAGTAGATTGTTCTAGTTCCATGTGCCATGCCTCTTCTGGATGTCCTCAAGGACACAGAGCCCAGTAGATGAAACGTTGGTTTGATCCAGTGACTAGACTCAAAGAGTTGTGATTTCAATACCAAGCCACGACAGTGGTGAACCAAACCTTGAAGAGTTGAGTTAAATAGAAATAACTGAGACACCCGAAAGAGGCATGCCACGCAGAACTAGAACAGTCTACCCCGGTGGACGAAATTTATTTCGTCCACCGGGGTAGATTGTTCTAGTTTGGGTTCGGTTCGAAATATCAATTACCTGAAGAAGGTCAGAGCGTAGAACGACCGGAAGATTGTGAATATGGCAATGAAGATGAGGATAACAGTCGGAATAATGTAAATATTGTACATAATCCTAATACCGCTTCTCAGAGATATAGACAAATATTTTTTCTTTTAAAATATGTTCCATCAGTGGTTATTTTGAGCAGGGAGAATCTGAAATTCACGTATACGAAAAGAAACCACATTTGTCGGATTCTGTATTTGTCTGTGATTCACTGCACTTAATATGTTTTGTTTTTTTTTGTTTTTTTTTACAATGGTGGATTTAATCTGGCACAAGGCCAGAAATATAGTGTACCATCGAATTCATAAAAAACTATATACACTCAAAAAAAAGGAATATTACCCAAAGAAATTTTGTCATCATATCAAACTGTTTAAAGTATTAATAAAGCAAATAATTTTTGCAGCTAAATAAAGCTGTCATTTTGGATATGTCAAATTATTTTTTTATCATTTTACTCGCAGCAAGGCAATAAAGTCACTAAGATGTAATAGGTTACTGAGTGTTATAGAATATGAAAAAAAGGGAGAGAGAACATTAAAAGATCAAAAGAATATAATGACTGACATTGCTTTTAAATTTTCTGATTTATGCACGTACACCAAGCACGCAAAAATCATTGGCCTTCTTCCAGTTAAAACCACCAGCCCAGTTAAAACTTGGCAACCATCTCACTGAAATATCTACGTCGTCCATTTTATGTAGTAGGTCTAAGTCATTTCTTATAACTTCGGTCAAATGCTAGAGGCTTTAAAGTCTTTCTTTATTTCTATATTTACACAGAACGTCGTCCCTAATGTCAATTAAACTCCAGACGTAACGCTGCGGGTGTTCATTGTCCTTACGCACTGAATATTTCTTTAGCAACATCGTCAATTGCTCAATAATATAATTGTAACCACATAACGAGATATCAGTAAGTAGATATCATTGCAAATAAGGAATAAGCGGTCATTGAACTATAATCGTTCCGAAGTCAGTTATAATCAAGAATAAGCGTTAATCAGACTTCCGTCAGGGTTCAATTGATCTCAGTCACAAAAGTGAACGGGTCATCTGTTATGATAGTATTTTAATTGCCGATGAAAGATCATTGATCCAAGACGTTCTTTAGATCATTGACTCTATGTGAAATGGTCAGAGTAAATCATTGATCACATAATGTTATGCCCCGAATGAAAAGGGCACCTCATCTTGGACAACTGGTTTGTAAGATCCTTTCACAGACACTTGTTATTGAACTGAGTTCAATGCCAATGGATTTTTGATTGATCTATTTATTTATTTGTATTATTTTTACGACTTATCAAACTTTTGCAAGTTATTTAAAGCCAACAGATATTTTTGGGAGGATTGGAAGAATTTTATAGAGATACTAATTAACTGATACCATTGTCGGAGTTAACTCCTCCTTTCAGCCCGTTAACATTTTCACCAGGGGTCTCTCTTTCCTGGCTATAAATAGCCAATGACCCTTCGCCTCTATCTCTCTTTTTCCTTTCAGGCCTGTGCACTGACACCTTGAGGTAAACTCTCTTATTCCTAGAGGATTTTCAGCTATCAACCTCGAAATGTAGTCGCTAACAAGGGATAGCGTGGAAACACGCTAAGCACAATATACACACACGCACGCACATACAGAATATTCACACACGCACGCACATACAGAATATTCACACACACTTCGTCCTTTGTACTGTTTCCATGTATTGTAACTTGTTATTAATATATATTTGTATATACATATATTATCGGTCTTGTTTTGTTTGTTTTTTTGTTTCTTCTTTGACTTAATCAAAGTCCAACCTTTTTATGTAGTTGGGCTCGGCGGGCAGGAGTATCTAAAACCTTACATGCGTTTCTTCTACGTCTGACTTCTATCAACAACATAACAGCCACGCCATGAACCCTCAACAAACGGTAACCGCCACGGCCCTCTACACCATTCCTATTAATTAACCCATAGATGTGGGGAGACGAGTTGGGTTACACACTTGGGTAATCATGTCGATTTCTCATAGTAGGCTGCTGTTTCATTATATAGTAGACTGGTTACCAACCATGGCTCCTGCTATTCAACCCATAGCTAGAGAGAGAAGAAATGAATTCATACTTTTTCAAAGGGTATTTGTGCGTGTGAACGTAAAGAACCCAACAAGAATTGAAACTCAACTTTTCAATTTCCAATTCGGGGCCATTATACATGATGCCATCCACACATCCAAGCTTACAATACCTGGCATTCCCAAGGGGTCATCCATCTAGATACTAAGCAGGCTCAATGTTGTTTAACTTCGCTGATCATATGAGTACCATTACTTCGAAGTGATACAATCGTCAGCCTCAATGCATATAGAGATCAAAAAGTATTGGGTTAACCAATAAATCTAATCGGCTTATTAAGTAAAAAGAATCCATTTTTATTTTAGATATTAACATTATTAAACAATATGTTTAATTATAAGGTTGTTCCTAAAATAATGTGCAATTTTAGAATCAAATTTTATTCCTGAATTACAGTAATTAAACAGTGTTTAAATCAATCAAAATAGGAACCTTGAACATCTATACCATTCTACCATCAATTTACAATGGTGTTTATACCTTTACGATATTTGGTGAACAGACTCCAAAGAATATGTTTCACCAAACACTTCAATGTTAACCTCTTCAAATCTAGAATCAACTGATATCTAATCAACATATCCTTATAATATGCACCGCTTTCTCGTTCCTTCTGCCTTTATAAAAATCTAATTCAGTCACCATCTACATTGAGTGACTCTTGAACTGTGTATTGGGTGAACAAGAAATAAAAAGGAAAGAAAACTCCCACCAAGATTTTCAAATATTAAACTTGGGAATGGTTAGCGCCAACATTCCGTTACTCGTCCCAAAATTCCTAATGTAGATTGTTTGATATTAGTAAATGATGTTTAGGTAGCATTATGTTCAGCTTTGCCGAAAATGGAATCAGTGAGCCGTGTTCAAATGTCAGGTTTGTTTATTTCATTCACTTTCACACAAATTAGTGAAAAGCATAAGTCCTTCTCTTCCCCTATGTATGGGTTAAATTGTAGAGTAGATTGGGCTTTCTATCTTTGGGTAGGAACTATTCTAAGACAAGGAAAACTCTCAATTGCAAACCATGACCATAATAGGAAACCATTTCACTATAATTCCCAATGGATGGCAATCCTCACATAACAACGAGAAGGAATGTTTGAAGGAGTAAAGTGCTGATTGTCTACATCCTCAAGAGATATGGCGTTATTTTTAAAGATCAATAAAACCAATGCTTTATTTTATAAGGTGGGGTGCTGAAAAGTTGTTTCTTTTTTTGTTTTGTCTTTTGCTGAAAATATACTTTTTTTATCAATTAAGCAAGGCAGTAAAGCCACTAAGACGCAAGGGGTTACTGGGTGTGGAAGAATTACAAAACAAAAATATTACTAAGGAGCGAGAACAAAAGATGAGTAATCAGGAAATCAGTAAATAGCGAGTAACATTGCATTTAAATTTTTTAAGATTAAAACTGGCTGGAAAGTCCCACAAGCAAGAAGTGCGAGAGAAGAAACTGTTAGCATAGAACTTACAGTTGCATATAGCAAACTCAACTGTAAATTGATGAGATTACGTCTCCTTTGTTAAATTAAAAGATTCTAGTTATCATAGCAAAGAATAATATTTATTCCACTTTATGTACAAAAATGTGCCACAAGGCCAAATTGGTTAATGGAGAAAAGGACAGTGTTTTTCTATCTTAACATTAAACTTAGTTAGCCACAATAACTGACCCAAACATACCACAATATTATTTACACTAAAACAATGCTATCTTACTTACTAATCTTATAACACTCCCCATAATACCTCAATGTCTCTATGAAGTCCTAACTAGTCTCCATATGTATAATCCTGGTTCCCAATGTGTACTTACAAATTTGGAACAAAACTATTTACAAGAAACTAAATAACAAAGTGTTAGTTATAAAAAAAACACAATCCCTAAATGTGGCAGAAACATCAGTTAGCTGGACAAAATCAATGCGGGACTTTAATAATATACAACATTCATTTGTCTAACCATACACTGAAAGACACACTCATTCAAACACAGCAACAAATACAAAACTCATGCCCCAAAAATCGACAGGTGTCCCACATCCACCAGAGAAATGATATCCCTGGTCACCTAATGAGGGAGAGGAGGGGGAATTAAGTAAACAAAGTTGGTGCAGAAATAAAAGGGGCCAATGAACATGCACCCCCTTTGAAGGAAGAAAATAAAGACAAAACAACCCTAAACTTTTTTTAAGCATTTCACAACAAGCAAGGTGTGAATAACACTAGCATGCAAGGGGTTACAGAGAGGGAAAGTAAAAGTAAAGAGGCATGTTTGAGGCAAAGATACAGAGAAGGACAGCTATCAAGAACAAGGCATCAGAAGATGTCGACTGAAATTACATTTGAATATTTGAAGAGTATAGTTGTCAGAGAAGCAAGTTAGAGGAAGGGAGTTCCATTGTCAAGAAGTGTGAGAGAAGAAGCTGTTGGAGTAGAAGAGGGGGTTACATTTAACTGCTTCAACAGTGAAAGGGTGGGACTCAGATGCCAACCTAGTAGCACACTTAAATTCATGCAGTTGGGGTAACAGTGAAAAGAGCTCATCAGAGCAGTTGCCATGAAAATATGTGTAGAAAAGATAGAGGGAAGCCATATCATGTCTGTGAGAAAGTGACTGGAGTCAAGATGCCAGGTCAGAACCTATCACATTGCATATATGTCTTTGGATTTTGTCGATGCACCTGACCATATATGGCAACACTATTCAATGCAAGGAAGAATGGTAAATTTGTAGGATGGACTCAGGGCGAGATAAACATTCTGGCGTGACACAGAGAACCAACTTTCCTTGCAGTAGATGCAGCTATTGATTCAATGTCAGTGGAAAACATGAGACCAGGAAGTCACAGAGAGATGCTCTCATGAAGTAGAGTATCAGGTGCTTAACCACTTTAGCATTAATTAAAGCCTCAAAGACTTTAGGAAGAGTGGTAGGAGACTGATAGGATGGTAGTTAGATGGGTCAGAAGAGTCACCAGAGTTCTTAAAAACAGTGGCAACAGATGAGGACTTCCAACAGGCTGGAAAGTATGAGTCAATATGGCAATAGTTATATAGTTTGGAGAGAACTGAAGCCAGCTCAGGAGCACATTTCTTTAGGACTACGGCAAGTATCATGTCACTACCATTTGTTTTTTGAGAGTCTAATTTAGAGATAATGTCCAATGCCATTGACGGGGTTATGCACATCTCACTCAAAAGATCCTCAGTTTTAGGGGGAAAATAAGGTGTGGGTACTCCAGATGAGTGGAGTGTTGGGTTGGATGAGAATTTCCAAGCAAAGCATTTAGACTTATCAGCTGAGGAAGTTAGAACTTCGAATTGATTGAATAGAGGAAGGATTATGAATTTGCTGCTGTTCATCACATTCTTGCAGAGATGCCAATATTCTTTAGAACCAAACCTGCAAGATGCAATACGTTGTTTCATTCTGTCAGCAAACAATATCTTTGCTTCATTAAGCATGCACTTGCACTCATTACGAGCCGAGATAGAGATGTATGTTGCAATCAGACATAAGAAGTGATTTCTATGGGCTATAGGAGCTCAGCAAGTAGAATCAAAAGACGTCTGTTGCATTCAGACATATCGCTCTGGTTCAGATGGAAGAAGTGATTCCTATGGGCTATAGCAGCTGAGCAAGCAGCTGAAAACCAAGGAGATCAGTGCAATTTAACTTTATATTTTCTTGCTGTGATGAAAGCCTCGATGCCAGCTTTTCCCCAGCAGATGCACATTTTTGAACGGGGTAATTAAAACCCACATTCCAAGGGACATCACAAAGGAAATCAAGGAGCTCTCACCTCAAGGTAAATGTGGAGGCCTCTTCTCCACTCAAGTGCACACTTCTCAGGGATGGAATGTTCATACGGGCATCTTTCTTCCAGAATTCACCCTCCACATTGGATTCACAACACATTTGCTCTAGAAACACAATGCAAGGCATATGTTGATGAGTCTCAACACTAGGCATACCCAAACCACATTCAGAAGGGTAGAAGTAACAGGTCTCATGAGATACCTTAGCAGACTTGCCTCCCGACAAGGAGGAGAACAAGAGCCTTACTAATAAAATTAGTGTGATAGACAGAAATAGAATTACAGAGAGTTGGTAAAAGAGAATTGGGTAGATGTGAAAGGCACATTCTTCTGCCCTCCCCTTTAAGGAAAGATTCCTTTGGGACCACAAAGGAACTGTGACCTCAGCCTTCTCCTGCACCTCCAACCAATTTATTTTCACCTCCAACCAATGAAGGTTGTCCTGAATAGTCCTGCCCTTCACAGCACAAATCTGTTCTGAGCCAATCAGACTATAGAGCACAGCATGCAAACGGTTTGCTAAGACCTTGGCTAAAATCTTTAACTCTGTATTTAACATTGTTAAAGACTGAAAGTTACCTATCCCATTCCCACTATTCTTGTCCTTGCATAGCAGCTTGAAGGACTTTTGAAGTATAGACCCCTGATTCAACCAGTTGTTGAAAAACAGTGCCAAAAAAGGAACAAAGACGGGTGACTGTCTCAAGTAGTTCATAGGGTAGACCATCTAATCCTGGAGATTTCTACCAACTAAACTGCTTCAGTGCTTCCCAGATTTTCAACTGTAATGGGACTCTAGCACCCAACTGCTTCAGCTGTTAAGACAGGGAAAGTCAGCTAAATAGACATTAAACTAAGCAGTGCTCAGACTGGGCACCCTGGTCAACAGATCTGGAAAGTAATCAAGGAAAGTCTCACATATGTCTGGGTTTGTAGTTATGATATGATTATTTGGCAATGTTACACATGCAACATGTTGATGAAATGCACTCCTAACTTCTTTTGTGCATAATTCAGCAGCCATTTTTGTTGACTTGAGAGTCATTCTTTTTTACCTAGCTTTTTTACCTACCTTGATCCTTCTTGATAAGCAAGTAGGCCAAATCTGTTCTAGCTAGAGCTACATCCTGACTATCATGGAATTTAATCGCCTGATCAACTTTTTGCTTACAAGCCGTTTGCATCACTAATCTATCAAGATTAAGCTGACAACTATATACAGCAGAAAACAACCTAATTTTGGATTTTAATTTGTTCCCCCACATATTTCCAACCACAGTTCCTGTCAACTGGTCCCAGAAATCTTGCTCAGCAAATAATAATAAGTTCAATTTCCAGTAGCCAGCCATCTTAACCTTAGGTTCATCTAAGTTTACAAGAACGTGGACGAGTCTATGATCTGAGTAAACTATATAATGGAAACTTGGACACCCTAAGAATGCTACATCAACTCTCCTAACTAAGATTTGGTCAAGGTAGCTAGAATGAACCTATGTAGTTGAGCTGCCCCTGTTTATCCAAGTCCACACTATCTCCCTAAGGTATTCACTATGGTACTTATCGACAAGATCAAACATACCGATAAAATTCTGAAATGATTTCATGTCCAGGATGTTAGTACACTAATTTGACTCTATATCATCTTTATCAGGGTGAAGGATAGCATTCCAATCGCCCACTAAAACTAACCAACAAGATGTCGTCAAAAACGTCTAGATCTACCAAAACAAATCAATCTGCTCAGAATAGTCATTGGGCACCTAAACCCCAATGAAACACACATCATTTATGGCAACATCCAGCACACAAAGCATATCCAAAGACAAAAGCACATGTCACATTCAAATACTTGCTCACTAGCCAGGAAAGTCCCCTCGAGCAACCATCAAAACATGCTGAATAGAGGGTGAACACCCTGGTCAGAATGCTCTCATGGTCATGAGTTGAAAAATCAGTTTTCTGTACACAATAAGCATTCACCCTGAGATGCTGAAGGTTTTGAGAGAGCCTTGCCCTGTGATACTGCAACCTCGAGACCCAGGCATTCATACTAGCTAACCAAAGTGCTATTATCAAACTGATTAGGCTTGCTCTTCTGCACTGAACATAGCCAGGGTGAGAAGTGTGATAAAAGAAACATCTAGCCAACTAAACTGTAAATTGATGAGACCACGTCACCATTCTTAAATTCAAAACTTCTAGGTACCATAGCAAATGGCTCATCTGTACAATTACCATGAAAGTATGTATAGAAAAGGCACTTACAAAAAACTTACTAAATGACTAAATTTTTAGTGTGGGATGGGCTTCTTGGTTGGACCAAGAACTTTCAGCAACCTACCTTGTATATGAATTATCTGTATTGTGTCAAATTGATTTAAATTTTTCCTTCATTCTTTTATCGCTTCTCTTTATAGAAAAGAGGAACCCATTTTTCAGAATCTTTTTCTTCTATTCTTACTTACCATTTTAATCCCAACATCTTTTCAATTTTCAACCTTTACAAAAAATGACCTTTCTTATGAAATCAGCCTCAACATTAAATGGCAATTGTTCCTCATTTTACACTTACATCTTCATTTAATATAAAGAATATTGCCACCATCTTGTACGTCTGAACAAATTTCTCCTTTTGATTTCAATGCAAAATGCCAGAACTCAACAGATGAGGTGAGTTGTGAAGGCCTTAAAGGCTTTTGTTCTATTTGGTATTTGCTTTTGTTAAATTGAAAAAGTGAAAATAATACAATAAATATAAAACTGGGGAAAATTGATTTCTAAAACAAAAATGATTGGTCGGTGGGTATAGAGCAATTATTGGTTGGCCCACATATAGAGGTGAGGATAGGGTAATTATTCTCTGGAACAATAAATGCCAAACCTCAAGATGTGACTAATGCACTGGAAAAGAAATTAGAAAGAAAGAACTTTAAAAAAAAAAAAAAATGAATGACAAGGGAGAAAAAATAGAAAATTAACAAGGAACGAAAGTAACTAGAAAAATTGTAACAAAGAAGAAAGAATAACTCAGAAAAGGAAAGAAGAGAATAAAAATGAAAGAAGAGAAGAAAAAAGAAAGGAAATAATGAAGACTAAAAGGAAGCATTCAAGAAGTTAAATCATAAAAGAAGGAAAAATAATAGGAAAAAAAAAACTAGAGAAAGATCAAGAAAGAAGAGAATAGTGGAAACATATTTAGAAAGAAAGAAGGAAACAGAAAAAAAGAAAGAAAGAAAGAAAAGAAGACAACATAAAGAAAGAAGAAAAATTAGCAGGAAAAAGAGTGAAAGTAAGTTGTGAAGGAAGAAAAAGCAAAAGAAATGAAAAACAGAAAGAGTAAAAGAAAAAAAGGACAACAAACAGAAAGGAAAAAAATGAAAGAAGAAAAATAAATGAAGAGAAAAAAAGAAGAAAGACAAATAGAAAGAAAAAGTAAAAGAACAAAGAAACACCAATGGTAAAAGTTAGGAAATAAAAATAAACAGAGAAATTAAATCTTGAAATAATAGAAAAAAATACATTAATAGAATAAAACAACAGATGAAAGAATAAGACAACAGATGAAAGAATAAATCAACAAATGAAAGAATAAAACAACAGATGAAAGAATAAGACAACAGATGAAAGAATAAAGCAACAGATGAAAGAATAAGACAACAGATGAAAGAATAAAGCAACAGATGAAAGAATAAGACAACAGATGAAAGAATAAAGCAACAGATGAAAGAATAAGACAACAGATGAAAGAATAAAGCAACAGATGAAAGAATAAGACAACAGATGAAAGAATAAAGCAACAGATGAAAGAATAAGACAACAGATGAAAGAATAAAACAACAGATGAAAGAATAAGACAACAGATAAAAGAATAAAGCAACAGATGAAAGAATAAGACAACAGATAAAAGAATAAAGCAACAGATGAAAGAATAAGACAACAGATGAAAGAATAAAGCAACAGATGAAAGAATGAGACAATAGATGAAAGAATAAAGCAACAGATGAAAGAATGAAACAACAGATGAAAGAATAAGACAAAAAGAAAACCGAAAGAAAAAGAAAAGTCAAAGAAAATGTAAAAAAGAAGAAATTAAATAAAAAGATTTTTTCAATATTTCTTTCTTAATTTATTTTTTCTCTTCTTTAATTTTCTATTTTTCTCTTTCTCCTATTTATTCTTTACTTGCAAAAAATTGTAATGCCAGAATAAAATCAATCAGTAGTTATACATATTATCTATATTCGGTTTTACGGTGTGTATTTCTTTCTCATAGAAAGTCAGTATTTAAGAGTAGGTAAAAATAGGATTACAAATGCTGATTCACAAAGCAAGCAGGCAGGTTCACTCTCATTAATAGTAAGACAAACTTTTACTCTTGGAATAGAACCACCAAAATCTCCCCTTGTACCAGACTCACACAATTCATCATTGTTACAGACTCACTCAAAATTTGTCCTGGTAACAAACGAAACCAATGTTACCATTTTATCAGAGTCATCTAAATTTGTCTTTATATGAAACTCATCCAAAACAGATCCTGTACTCATTTAAACTTGTGCTTGTATGAGACTCATCAAAATGTTTCCTTTTACCAGACTCATCCAAATTTTGTCCTTGTACCAGACCACCTCAAATTTGTCTATACTAAACCCAGCTAAATTTGTGCTTGTACCAAACTCACCAATATTTGTCTATGAATCTGACTCATCCAAAGTAGTCCTTGTGCCAGACCCATTCAAATTTTCCTAGAACTACAGCTAACTAAACTTTGTAATTATATCAGACTGACCCAAAGTTATCTATGTATCCACATTTAGTCAATAATAATAAATTTTAGAAACTTATATACAAATTATTCTAAAAAATCATTTAAATTGGTAATGATTTTGTTCCTTAGTGATACAAGTCTTAGTAATTAATTAATAGCTGGAGGGGAGAAAAGGTGGATTCATACTTTTCCCAAGGGTATTTGCACATTAGTGAATAAAACAGATTCAACAAGAATTAGAACTCAACTCTTCAATTAACAATTCTCTGCCATTACACCACCTGCACATCCAAGCTTACAAAAGCTGGTATTCTCAAGCAGTCACCCATCTAGGTACTGAGCTGGCACAATATTGCTTAACTGTCGTGATCTCAGGGGAAGCAATGTTTCAGAATGATGTGGCCATAAGCAGAAACAGGAAATGACTATTCACATTACAAACTAGTGACCAATAATAACCATGTCCATTATACTCATGTAGCCTCTCTCAGTACAAACCAATGAACGCCAATTAACTAAATGCACCTAAATAATTCTTATATTTATGCACAAATGCCTATATGAATGGTATGAATCCATCTCTTCTCCCCCAGCTATGGGTAAATTAGTAGAACTCTTATCAGTAAATCATTATTATCTCTAAAAAATCCTTATAATCTGAATATATATTCTGGCTTTAAACAACCTGCAAAAGTTTGATTAGCTGTAAAAAGACAAGTAATCAATCAATCAAACCTACGAGATTTTCCTAGCATTTTTCATATTTGATCATAATCTTCCTTTAACAAAAATATGCCATTTTAACTCTGTAAATTTATTTTTGCTATTCTGCATGTGTGACCAGCATTTGAAATTCAGAATTTAAACTTATGAGGAACATTTTTATTGTAGATTCTTTCTTTAGCCTATAACCTATCTGTAATCCTCAGAAGAGCATTAATTTTCTTAATGAAATCATTAATTGGTTGATGCATACAAAATGTTTCTTTGGCATTTTTGAATTGGCCATCACGGACTGGAATTCACTTATCAAAGGGAATTATTTGGTCTTCATAGAGATGTCACGCATGGTCTCAAACTCGTTCTAAAATTGTCAGCGCTGTATGCAACCATTTCCTCAGTTCATAACAGTTACTGACCTAGAGAAACCTATTTTCAGTGAAAAATCTTTGTAATAGAAAGATTTTGTAAATTTCAACAAAAATAGCACTGGATGCTTTGTTAATAAATACAGAATATTTCCTGATAAAGAAACAGCCAATATTACCATTAGAAATGAGGAGAGCAGATACTACACTTTAATCCCAACCTGATGTCTTGAGAGTAAAGAAATGTGTAACTCCAGTAGCACTGGCTGCTCAGTTAATGTTTCCTTATAAGGAAACAGCTCCCATTACCAGCCTGTGTGTGTGTTTGTAATTATTGTTTGTTTGTGTGCTTGGCATGTATATATATGCATACATTGTCATGATTTGTATGTATTTGTGCATTGCCATGATTCACTCAGACGAAAATAAGGAAGGAATGACTGCAGCAGACTGTCTCATATTACTGCTCCACACCACTTATACAAACTGTACAATAAATCAGGCTGAATTATGCACAAATAATTATTCCATATAAATACATGGTAGTGTAATTCTCAGTCAAATAGAATGTGAAAAGTGACAGCTGCTCACAGAAAAAGACATTCATACAATAATGCATAGATGTATAAACAAACACAGTAAAAAAGTTGGAAAATTTGACCGAGAATTACACTACCATGTATTTATGCGGAATAATTATTTGTGCATAATTTAGCCTGATTTAAAGAAAATTATCTGAGAAAAATGACTTGACAAAATACTCATGCAAAGGGATTTTGTAAGTGTGTGAATTTCTCTAGATTCTAAAAAACTTTTTATGACTTAAATAATATGTATTGCAAGTTAGTTAAAAACTTTTATAAGAGAACAGGCCTAATACCAAACTGTATTCTTGATCCTTCTGCTGGTGATATACATTAGAATTTCTAGCCGAATGCCAATGTGTGGAGGGGACATTGTTCTAATTCAACATGCCATACTTTTCTGGATATCTCATTTTCAGTTAATTCCCTTTAGTAACTTTAGTGTTTGAACCTTCTGATGTGGCCAGCTTTGCAATAAATATAGACAACAGTCTGAATGATGTAAATAGTGTAAATAGTTATCATCTCATCTCAGAAATTAATATATATATATATATATATATATATATATACAGGTAATAATCTGTAGGTGTATTAATCCAAGTGAATCCTAATAATATAAAATGCTAAAATTGATCCACAAAAAGACCTCAATGTATTTATTATAACAGAGCATATAAATTACATATGTTCTATGTAATTATATATATATATATATATATATATATATATATATATATATAGTGATTTTCTAAGTGCTGCTTAGATGTGGCACAAGGCCGGAAATATGGAGCACCCAGTGAGGATCGAACTCACTACTCAGTCGTAATTGTTCTAGCGAGACAAGCTTCTTAACCATTGCACCACACCGAGACATGGATAGATAGATAGATAGATAGATAGATAGATAGATAGATAGATATGTACAGAGTCTTCCAAAATAATGTATACATACTTCAGGGAAAGGAAAAACTTGTATAGATATTGAAATACTAAATTTATTCAGATATCCCAATCTTAATACAGGTTACCTTTGGAATATACACTCACAAGAGATACTCAAAATGGTGGCCTTTAGTTTCCAGACATTTATTAGAATGGTAAACTACGGTTTGGTCAACATTTGCCAAAGTCTCTAGTGAGATTGCTGCACATGCATTTTCAATTTCTTGTCTAAGCATTACCAATGTAGTCCGTTTTCTGCAATATAGAACATCCTTTAGGGCCCCCCTATAGGTAAAAGTCAGCAGGTGTTAAATCAGGAGTACATGGTGCGGGGAGTTGACTGCATCTTACTGTCCTAGCCTGTGTCCTTGCAAATTCTCATTTAGATAAGCTAACACATCTTGTTGGTAGTGTGGCACTATGCTGTCTTGTTGTATATAGAATTCATTATTTCCATAATGTTCATGTATGGCAGTATTATTACAATTTAATAAAACTGAAAAAGACAAGTGTGTTTAATTATTTTTTACCAACTCTGTACATATATATTATATTAAAGTAGCGATTCTTTCTTTCTATGTTTTCTTAAGTAGAATAAAGAAATAATATCTGTCAGTGAGTTTTTCATGTGCTTTCAAATCAGTTTTTGGATATTGAGCATAAACTTGTAATAGATTTGTCTGAAATTGTGTCAAATGTTCTGAATACTTTTCACTATGATTGGTCATTTTCAAAGACAGGAAGTATAAATCGTGAGATAGCCATTAGCACATTTATATTGTTAATGGTCTAATGTCTGAAATGAACATAGGTTCATCTACTACGAAGGTTGAATAGATTTTAATGTCATGCACTTCAAAGGCATTTTAGCACAAGCAGACCAAGATTGAAACAAATTTTATTGATGTGAAGAATTTTATGTCATGTGAAAAACCTCCAAAAGTTTAAATTGGTTTTGCAGTTCGATTGGCAGAGTACAGATCTATTATTAACTCTAATCTGATGATAATTCAAAAAGGGGTAATAAATTTTGATAAATGCTTATATATAGCACTTATATTTAGATAGGTGACAGATCAGTTTCCTGCAGAGAAATGATGCAGTCCATTTTTTTTAGTAACAGTTGCCATCTTTCAGTAGACAAGAGAATTGATATACAAAGGTGGTCCGAAAGTCTTGTCATTCTAACATGCTCTTGTAAATTGTAGGAGCTCCGGTCAGCCATCTGAAATAAGAAAATGTTTTTATATAAGGGTGACAAGACTTTCGGAACACCCTTTACTTCAGCAAACTTTATTTCTTGAGGAGAAATATTGTTAGTAATATATAAGTAAGTTACCTTTACACACCCACAATCACACATACACATGCATATATATACACACACACACATATATATATATATATATATATATATATATATATATATATATATATATATACCAGTTATGTACTATGTGTGATACACACTTAGGTGATCATGTGTCTTTTGATACATGACTGACGAGGCAGATTTTTCCCTGCAGTAAGTTGCAATTTCTTTCTGCGGTAGACCAGTTGCCATCCAAGGCTATAGAACACTGTCTGTCCTACTATTTACTCATAGCTGGGGGGAGAAGAAGAGGATTCATACCTTTCCCAAGGGTTCTAGCACATAAGTGTATGTAATGGATTTAACTGGAATTCCAACTCGGCTTTCCAATTTCTCAATCCGAACCACTACACATTTCTCCACCAGGCCTCCTTAGTACACAATAAAATCCCAAATTACCAACTTTAACTGTGGCAGCTATAAAAAAAAAATCCATTTTCTATTTCAATGTTTCAGTCAGTTGAATGTCATGAGACAATGGTCAGGGGAGAATTTTATGCTGCACTTACTATTTGCTCTGTAATAATAAATACATGGAGCTATTTTTGTCGATCAGTTTTAAGATTTTAAACTATAGGATCCACTAGGATTATATACCAATGTATTTATTATATTTACTATATATATATATATATATATATATATATATATATATATATATATACATGTATATATATATATGATAAAATATAGCTATAAAGTATGGTATATTAATGAGTAAAAGTGCTTGATATCAGAGATAGAGAGCATGTGAATATAAAAGTGTATATTAAGATCAACACCCAGGGCCAACAGTCTGTTTTATGCAAAAGTGTTATCATCAGGCGATCGTAGCCTAATGACTGCATTTAAGCATGAAATAGACTGTCACCATTGGTTGTTGACTTCAGTGTCCACTTTTATGATGTTATACCCTGACAATTGCATTTAAGCATGAAACATATTGTCTCCACTGGGTTTTGACACCACTGTCTATATATATATATATATATATATATATATATATATATATATAATTTAAATAAAACAGACCACTTTAAGGTTCCATGTAATAAATTATTTCACCACAGCCCTTTTAAAGGACTGAGGATCATCAGACTTTACTTCTCTCTCCCCCCTCACTTCCTCACTTTGTTAATTTACATATGCTTAATACAGCCTGTCAAAAATGTGTAAATTTCTTTTCATTTTTTGTTTCACCCTTTGGAAGTAAAATCTGATGATCCGCAGTACTTTAAAAGAGCTATGGTGAAATAATTTATTACATGGAACCTTAAAGTGGTCTGTTTTTGTTTAAATTATTTGCTCTGGATTAGCATTGAGCTCTCTGGATTGTATCCTCCTTAGGTTTGCCCATACGGATTACATAGTTTTTCATAAACTAACTATATATATATATATATATATATATATATATATATATGTAGTGAAAATTTTTTATTGAAAAACTGGTTAAAACTAATACAAAGCATAAATATATAGATACATATATATGGAAAAATGGGTACATAAGCATATAAAATTGAATAGTGATCCATATTTTTGGCCTTGTGCCACATCTAAGCTATACTAAGAAAATCATCACCATATGGCTATTTTGTCAAAAACCATTGGCAATCATTCTATAATTTTACACTTTTACTTTTTCTGTTTACAATTATTTTGGATTTGGGCATTTACACATAGTATAATGGTTAGCAAGCTTGTCTAACGAGATTAATTATGACTGAATAGTGAGTTCGCTCTTCACCGAGTGCTCCATTTTTTTAGCCTCGTAACACATCTACACAATGCTTAGAAGATCACCATATATATGGAAAAAGAAAGGCAGAGACTGAAATCATATATATATTCTCATAGAAAGAAAGAATGAAGAACATAAAGTGAGATCTGTATGTATGTGTGTATATATATATATATATATACGTACATATATATATATATGTTATATACATACATATATATATATGTTATATACATACATATATATATATATATATATATATATATATATATATATATATATATATATATATATATATATATATATATAGGTTTGCTCTACTTAGCATATTGAGCACTTTACTTTGTTATTTTACTTACTCATATCGGCTTTTTTTTCTTTGGAATCTGAACTTGGATGCTAGACGATTGTCTTTTGCTGCCGTACATGTTCTCTGTTCTTTCTTTTTTTGTACCTTTTTTTTTTCCCTTGGGTATTGGTCTGTTTATTTACATATCAAACTATCCAAGGTTTTCCGGACGAGTATAATTTCTTATATTTATAAGATTATTAATATTATATATATATATATATATATATATATATATATATATATATATATATATATATATATATATGAATAAAAGGAGACAAGAGGAAAAAATATACTTAGCTAATGCATTTCAGCCTCTGAAGTACTTTATCAAGGCAATGTAGGATTTATTGTGCTGGACACGTTTATATATAGCGGTGAGAATGTCATTGGATTAGAAAATCATGAATGTTCAACCAGGTGGTTGAAAAATCAGTCAAAGCATGTGAAGGACACAAAGAATCATAATTCAAAGACTGGTGATTGTTTATTATTAAAGCAATATTCTTTCAATTGTGATTAGATTGTTATGGTAAGACAATGGACATATCTGCTGTACATTTTTAAAGGCTGGAAGGATGAAACTAACCGTTCTCTTTTGATTTTTCAACATATTTGTTGTTGCGTATTTTGGCTTGGGAAATTATTAATTCATTACAGAAAGGTGAAATTGGAAAGGAACCGGGGCATAGATTTATACATTTTTATGAATATTATGTGGATTTTGATTAGATAGTTATGGTAAGAGATGGACGTATGTGATGTACATATTCAAAGGCTGAAATGATGAAATTAATCGTTTTCTTTTGATTTTTCAACATATTTGTTGTTGTGTATTTTGGCATGGTAAAGTATTAATTAATTCCAGAAAGGTGAGATAGGAAAGGAACCAGGGCATAGATTTATATTTTTATTTGAATATTTTGTGGATTTCTATTGGATAGTTATGGTATGAGATGGATTTATGTGCTGTACATATTCAAAGGTTGAAATGATGAAATTGTTCATTTTCATTTGATTTTTCAGCATATTTGTTGTTGTGTAATTTGGCTTGGGAAAGTATAAATTCATCCAAGAAAGGGGAAATTAGAAAAGAACCGGGGTATAAATTTATACATTTTTATGAATATTATGTGGATTTTGATTAGATAGTTATGGTATGAGATGGACATATGTGCTGTACATCTTCAAAGGCTGAAATGATGAAGTTAAACGTTTTCTTTTGATTTTACAACATATTTGTTGTGTATTTTGGCTTGGGAAATTATTAATTAATTCAAGAAAGTTGAGATTGGAAAGAAACCGTTTTCTTTTGGTTTTTCAATATATTTGTTGTTGTGTATGTTGGCTTGGAAAAGTAGTAATTCTTTCAGGAAATGTGAGGTTGGGAATTAACTGAGGCATACATTTATATTTTGATAATATTTAATGAAGGTACTCTCGAGAATTTTCCTTCTGAGTAAATTACTTTCTTTTTGATGTGTATGTTATTTTTAAATCAAAGTTGCAGTTGAATTTA